GTAAACTCAGTATCTTGTTTACGAAAATCATTTGTGACTCAGTAACCTAGTGGATAATACTCTGGCGTTTGAAGTAACAGATATATCCAGCTGATGAGTCCCATGTAGAACGAAACGTGTGTCTTATATCTAACTGCTAGCCCCCATCAAGATAACTAGTCTATAATCAATCTTTACGCGATATCTAAGTATCTTTACAGCAGCCTGAATGCCAGCAGAGATGGGTCAATTCGATACGGTATAACAACGCGAAATCACAAGAACCAATAAACAAGGACCATCCATGTTTTTGCAGTTTAGCGGAGTTTTTTGCAGCTTCTAATTCGTCGTCTTGCTTTCTGACTGCCCAACTTATTCTATCCCTCTGTCATCAAAGAATTCAGCAGCTGATTATTATAACTTTTGTAGATAATTTCTGTCTGCCTAACCTTCGAAAGCGTGAAGGGAAGATATGCTTGTACTCTAAGTGGTAACACTACACAATATCGGACCAATATGTAATGGCAAATAATCCTCCCAAATGAATAGCCTACGGTTGGACGATATTCAACATTGGTGCTGACGTTCAGTCTTAACGAACCTGTTACGCTGAAGAAGACAAACAGTCAAGCCCCTACGTCATTTGGCACGTTGCTGCGTTACTCGTACAGGACCCCCTAGCCAGCTATTTCACAAATACAAACATGTTGGGACGATTCATAAAATATATGATTCCTACCTGGCTATCATCTTGTATTCTTTCTTGGTCTTGCACTCGTGGCTATTCTACAAGTATGAAGAATTAGTGATTGACCTCTGCATCCGTTAAGATGACGCAACGACAATTTCTAAACTGGTGAGCTCATTCCTTTTTGTACTTGTGCAGCTTCTTTTTTCATTTATAACTTTTATATATTTGCACTTAAACTTCTGGTAGACATATGCAACCAAACTTCCAAAAATATTTGTATGAAACTGACAATGCACCCGATTCAGTTGGTAGCATTCTGGTAAGACAAAAAAAAACTTGGTCTTTGTAGGGCAAAACCGATTTCCAAGAACAGAGCTTCACAGATCACCGTCCTCAATTTCTTGTTATCATACGACTACTGTGGGCGGCAACGAACAGGCACGTAACAGCATATATGTTTACTTCTCGTATAAGTAACACATACACTATTCAAAACAACCATTTTTAGGAAAAGCGACCCCACAGATCTTCAATGCTCAGGTGAATTCCTCCGTAACATTGAGTTACGGAACAGTTCAGCTACTGGGTACTTGCAGAAATGCGAGAAGTGACTGGCCAAAAGTTCAGTGGTAGTCTTTCCTGCGAACCATTTCTTTCGAAACTACGACAGCCGAAGCAAATCGCAATGGTGACACTTCAATCCGTTGTGACTAATGATGTGGCAGTTTCGGCTGATAATATTTTAGACATCTCTTCCAGGCCTGCGATCAACATGCACACTGATAGCAGAAAACCGGTATGCTTGGGTTTTGAAATGACAGAGCTCTGTAACTCTGTTAAGCAGCTTCTGCGAACTCTAAGTTCCATGTCACGAAGTACAACACAGCATACACGTGTTTCATCCCACCGTAGTAGTCCATGTGGTCAGTTTACAGTTGAACCATATATTGTTCAAAGCCATAAATGGCATTGGTTCCACAACACCTATGATGATAATAAACGAAGTATTGCAAATCATGCACTTTTAACCAGGACTGCAAGTCGGGAAACTGTCCCGCTGGTATGCGTTAACAGTAATCATAGCTAGTCAAAATAGTTGTTTGTTACACTTTAATGAAGTGAGAACGAAAGTTGGCTCTCTCACCGACACTGGGGCAGAAGTTACTGTTCTTCCTGTAACCATGAAGGAACATCATCGCAACCTGCCCTTCAATATGCAAGTGGTCATAGGAAAACCGACTGTGACCTCTTAAAAAAGGTATGCCTATCTCAACTGGGGTTTACGCAAACCTATTCACTGGATCTCTCATCATTCGCGTAGATTCTCTAAAACATTACAACTTACTGGTAGATGCCTGTCGATGACGACTAACGAGTAATAGCATGAAGCTATCTATCGGCGGAAGCACTTACATACGTCCGAGTTTAGCTGTAGTTAGAACGAAACAATCGACTCCTTTTATCAATTACGACTAGACAGATATCCGAAGTTGAGACAGCAGACGCATACTCTGACATGCATAGCCATAAGTGATATGCATTATATCACAACCTATGAAATACAAAGCACACACCCTTCTTATAAGTTAAGGATGGAGGAGAATGAGTTCGGTCATATTCTTGAGCTCGAATAGCCCATTTAGCATTACCACTGTATTTAGTAACCAAAAAGTATAAAAATGATTGGTGTTTCATGACAACGCCAAAACACTCGACTGCAACCAATACTTCACATCTACAATTTAACTAAGACTTTGTGTGGAATAAACATACTTTCTGACACCAGCCGATACAAAGCGTACAATTAGATAGCGATAGTAGTAGAAGACATCTCGGAAACAACTATTTGAATTACTGTGCATGACTTATGTTCTTCGGAATTCAGCATAAGCCTTCCAACGCTTTATGAATGATGTCTTCCTGCGTTTAGATTTTTTCTACGTTTACAGAGATAATTCACATCGCAAGTCCAATATGAGTAAAATCAGTTAAAACACCTGGAAATCGTATTCGACAAACCATAAAGCGTTGTGTCACAATGAATAACCAGAAAGGTCAAACAGGAAACAAAAACATGCGCACTTTGACAGATAAAGTAGGGACTATGTCTCATTGCCCCAAACCGATAATTCACACAGACAGATAGGTACAATCAACGAAAAAGCTCACACTCAAGTGCATTGGCCCAAGTCGCCACAATTCACAGTAGTACACAAGGAACAGGTGGATAGAAATGGAGTGATATAAAATTACACAAAGTTGTATGAGAGAATAAACGATCTAAAATAACGGTTAGTGCAAATATTCCAGCTTTGGAAGATGTCAAGGAGTGAATAAATCTGCACCTTCATGACCGATTTTCAGCCACGTTAACAACCTACAGTCCTCAACCACCGATTCCTATCATCTCAAGGACCCCAGTCAGGTAGTCCGCACCTCCATACACGACTCAGACCGACAGTCAGAGACTTCATCGACTGGTGCCAGGTCTTCGTCTGGCCAACCTGAACCCTCTTTCAACGGAACCCAGCTTCCCGTAGTATAGGATGGGGAGGTAGGGGTGACGGCATGAACAGTACATGTCCAAGCCACCTCAGTTCAGTAAAGTTTCTAACTTCATTAATCGGTTTGCCTAGTACCCTCCACCTGACCTCAACACTTTTCACACGGTGATTCCACCAAACGCGAGCAATGCTACCAAGACATGCGACCAAAACCCTGTAATCGCTTCATGTTCTCTACCTCTAACGGCCATGTCTCGCGGGGAACAAGTGTCGCACTAGGATAGCTCGTTCGATCATTATGATATACAGCCCCAACCACCACGTGAAGGTAGCAGCTATCCGTCGAATAACTAACTGGGAACTTCGCACCTTCAATGACATGGTCGTTTATTACCGAAGGTTTGATACTAATTGTGCATCTCTTATGATACAACTGATAGGTCTGTTGTATGGGAACACAAAGTGTATGAGTCTGGACAAAGTGACCAAGTCTGCATTCCCTATGGCCAAGGAAGCAATCACGAAAGCTACTATACTTGTGCATCATGACCAGAATGCTCCTTTCAGTATTGCTGTTGATGCATCCGACTAAGTAATCGGGGCTGTTTTACAACAGCTGATAGACAACCAGTAGTAGCCACTAGCCTTTTTCTGGAGACGGCTACAAGATGTGGAAACAAGGCAGAGTACAAATGGTATGGAACTCCTAGCTATGTACTATTCCATGGGTCATTTTCCACATTTCGTTGAAAGCTGCGATTTCATAATTTTTACAGACTACAAACAGCCTAACTTTTCACTTGATTCAGCCTCCAACAGTTATTCCTCATGTGAGACAGACCAGTTCAATCTGTTACATTTTACTAGATCATATGGAATCAAGAATAAGGTGGAATAAAGAAAATAAATGTGGAATAATAAAACGCTGAATATGTTCAAGACGATAAGTCGTGTATGTATCAGCATTACTATGACAGGTAAGGCCTATCAATCAAAGCCTCCAACTACTGGCTTTTAACATTTCAAAAACACCAACTTGTGACTCTAAACAACTTACATCAATATTTAATGTTTTCACGAGGAATCCTAGTTTATTGATCATATCATATCCTCAGGTAGACAGTGACTAGACAAGTGAAACGCATGTCCAAGACATTTCGGTATATGTATATTTACAGCTTAATTGAATGAATTATTTATATCCTTAGCTAAAGAGCATACTTCCACTTCAAAAACTTGTTTTAATATAGAACTAAGTCAAAACCCACGTACAAGCAGTGAGCTACACCTCTTGTGTAACGGCTAGTGGTTGGCTGCAAGACCTCAGTAGGTGGGGCTGGCTTCTAAGCAGCAACCTATAGGTTGAAAATCAATAGCCCTAGAGACCAATGAGCCACGGTCCCACTATTTCAATATAATCCCCACCCCCACCCCGTTCTTCGTTATTACCACTGACTTATCAATAGAGAACACAATTGGTTCTACTAGTAGCATTTCATCAAAATGCATATGACAAATGTGCGTATACTTCATATTCTATAACAAATGCATATACAAATCTACCCAAGAGTTAAAATAAAAAATAGTTCTGGAAAAAAAATCACGCGAAGATAAAGAAACAAGGAAATCAATTGTACACATATACACACATGCATATGAAATTCACTTAAACTTTACACCATCTGATATTGGAAAATTCAAACCGTCTGTAGTTAATGGAGAATTGATAAGTGGACAGAGAAGAGCTAAAATCCAACGCTCACCTAAATACTGTTTAATATTATTCATATAACCGACATTGTATATACACGCAGAGGAGTCATTGTTCACTGGTTGATGTTGTTGATAGACAGTGGCAGCTGTTGTTGTTTTATGTCCGTATCACCTTTAGTTTGTAGACATGTTCGCATAGTTTTATTGCAAACGCCAGAACTGTTAGTATACTGATATTGACGACTGAATGATTTAAATGCGCGCTCAAACATTGTTTGATTAGATAACATCAAGTTGAATTGATAGATAATGAAGACAAATAGAAGACAAGCAGTTAAAAAGGTTAGACTTGTAGTTAAAAATATAATACTTTGTAGAGCAGTTAGATAACCAGTTAGCCACATAAAACCCGGTGGTGCTACCATGCATACAAGACGATAATGCAATGACCAAGTGCTAGGGAAAATCTCTGATTGAAATATCAGCAGCATATTGTAATAAGTCATAAATGCACATCCCAACATCCCATAGAATATGGTATTGCAAAAATACCGCCAATTCGCATGACCAATACACTGAGCTTTAAAGAGAAAAGATACATAAAGGAAAAGAATAGGATACAATGTATGAACAACAAGATTAAATAAAGGCATACCAGTGAAAAAAATCCATTTTCATACTCCATAGATATATCTGATAAAGACATATAACAAGGATGACGAATGAAGTTGTGATAAATGCTTGAGTTGACAGTGTGCCGAAATCACCAGTCTTAAGATTGCCACTATATTACACTATCACCAATGACATCATGATTTCACACTTCACTTTATCTACCTAGGTTTGGTCAAACAGACATGCGCTACCTACCAATAGATTTATTCAACCTGACAACTATCCGCCAGTCTGTCAGCAAATGCTACCTAGAATAGCTTAACTAATAATCAACAAACTAATTTATACCACAGACTAATTCTCCTAGGTGTGAAACACGACGAGAAATGCTGACTGAAACGATAAAGAGACAGAAAAAACAATGATTTCAAAAGTATGTTGCACAAAGGTAACTTGTTACACCAGTAACAATCAAAACAATTGGAGAAACACTGAAAACCTCGGGGGTACTGCATACCTACGACCGGGTGTAAGGACAAATACTCAATGATACCATTGACAGACGGAAAAACAAAATCAACGAAAAAGCTCACACTCAAGTGCATTGGCCCAAGTCGCCACAATTCACAGTAGTACACAAGGAACAGGTGGATAGAAATGGAGTGATATAAAATTACACAAAGTTGTATGAGAGAATAAACGATCTAAAATAACGGTTAGTGCAAATATTCCAGCTTTGGAAGATGTCAAGGAGTGAATAAATCTGCACCTTCATGACCGATTTTCAGCCACGTTAACAACCTCACCAATCGATTTACCTGTCTGGCTTAGTACCTTCCGCCTGACCTCAACGTTCATAACACAGTGATCCCACCAAACGCGAGCAGTGCTGAGAAGACCCCTATCATCAAAACACTGTAACCACTTCATGTCTTCTACTTCCAACGGACATGTCTCATAGCCGTACAACAGGATAGAACGGACTGCAGCACGGTATATTCGTCCTTTAGCAGGTAGTCGGATGTCTCGTCATTTGGCGTCACAGATGACGCAAGTCGGCAAATCCTAAACGAGCCTTCTGTATCCGAGCTGAGATGTCGTCAGCAACCAACCCATTCGGGTTGACGCAACTCCCCAAGTAAGTGAAGTGGTCGACATTTCCCACCACTTCATTCCCGATTACTAAACTGTGAGTGGTTGCAGCAGACCTGTCTTGGAGCATAATCCTACATTTGACAGCTGCGAAACGCATGCTAGACACAGACTTTTGCTCGACATGTTCAGTTCAGAAGACCTCGCATTTCGTCAGCGTCTTCACCTGGCAAGACAACATCATTTGCATGCTCAAGCAGCTGATCTCCAGGACATCGTTCAATTCATGTGAAGTCAGATATCTAAGGTTGAGTCCGTTGGTAAGACTACAACGAAGTTAAACAGGAACGGTGACATTGGACGTGACTACATGCTGGCAATTCAGATAACAATTTTCCATAAGCGCTTACACGGCTGCGTGAATTCGAGTAGAGTGCTTTAGGAAACATTATATGCTCGCTCGGTATCTCGTTCAGTCAAACACATCCCCAACACCTCACGGTCGACTGGGTCGAGTGTCATGTTTGTGTAGGTAGGTATGTCTGTATTCCAGAACCTGTCAGAGGTTGCAAACATGATCAGTGCGTCCTCACCCAGGTCTGAAACCTGCCTGGTTTTCTCGGGTTTGCTGTTTCCAAGCTCTAAATAGGCGTTGGATAACTATGAACCTTTGGATCTTCGACACAACATTAGTCTAACTGATTCCCTACTGGTTGTCACAGGAAGACTTCTCCCTTCTCATAAACTGAGATGATCAATGAAGTAGACAAGTCTGATGACACTAGTTCTGGTTCCCTTACACTTACTACCTAGTACCTCTATTACCGTAATCAGCTATTTCCCACCTCCATTCGTGGAAACTCCAAGTGACAAATTATCAGGTCCTACTGCTTTGCATCATTTCAGGTTCGACATAGCCTTATAACTTCGAAGACAGTTGGAAGACGGACATCTGCGTCTCACTTAGGTTCAGGCTAACTGGATGTTGGGCATCGGGAGCATTGTTGTAGGTCATTTGGGCTGTGCTTAAAAGTTTTCCACTCAACGTTATGGCCGTCTGCCCTAAAAAATTATGGGCGTCCGATCCTTTTCAGTGATAGTCTCACTTACCATCGTCTTCTTGCCAATATCCTTGATAGGCCTAAATAATTGCCGGGTGTTATCTAATGCTGATTCCTTCTCCATCTCTCTCACCTTCGTCACCCACCACTGCTTGCAACCGTTGTGAAGACTCTTGATCAATTTAAGTTACTTTCCCTCTTCAATCTGGTCAGAGTCCGCTGTTTGGCATGAGTCTTCTCGCACCAGTCATTTCGGATTACGTTGCGAAAATTCAGTGGCGTTTGATAAAATTCGTTTGTAGGTTATTAATTGTCTTTTCCACTGCTTCGAAAGCAGACTTAATATATTATGCCAGGTTTCCTCAGGATGGACATTGCTGTCAAGTTCAGAATAATATTTAGTTAACACCTCTTTAAATGCGTATTTAGCGTCCTGATTTAGCAGTCGAGCACAGATGGGCCTCACTGCCTCCTGTTTCCTGCCACGAGTAAGACGCAGACATACATGAGCTTGTACTAGCACATGATTGGAGTCCAAAGTGGTACTCCAGAAAGAGTGCCGGTCCTATACAACGATGACTTGTTGCCATGTGATCTGCGCCCATCGTTGGTTTTTATGTCGGCAGATGCTATGTGAAACAGTGTCTCTCCTCATGCCTAAAGTTAGTGCTGACCAAAAACAAGTGATTCATGGAACTAAGTTGCAACAAACGATCACCACTGTCGGTTCGTTGGCATGGGATTCCGTAAATATTTCCAATATGCCTTTCCGATTGACTCAGCTTCCTTACTTGAGCGTTAAAGTCACTTGTCATTATGACTACATCTAAACATTTTGCTTTCTGTAGCAAAGTTGACAGCTTCTCATAGAACTCATCCTTTGCATCATCCGAAATGCAGTTGGTGAGCGCGTAGGCGGTGATTACGAATGGGAGTAGGTTAGTTTCACGATCTTTCATAGTCCTTACAGATCCATTCAGTTGAACAGTACATAGACGACTGTTTACTGGTATTTAGTCGAGAAGTGCACTTTCTTCTCTACGACTCAGTGCTATGCTTACACCAACAAGTCAAAGAGAGCTAGCCACTGAGTGTCCGGGTACTCTTGAGGTGACTTTTAGGAATTCACTACTGTGGCCAGGTGAGGTCAACTTACTTAGCTACACTTGGGTCCTGTATACATGCGTCAGAGATAGTATCCATCCATCAGGGACCGGATTGGGAACCTTCGAGTTCCGCATCGAGTACGTTACCACTAACACACTGGGTCAGAATCGAATGGTTCACATTTTTCTGCTTCTGTTAATTTGCAATATAACATGACCTACATCCAATGCCTTCGTTGTACTGCGCTGCGATTCGATCTATCCTGCTGTACGGCTATGAGACATGTCCGTTGGAAGTAGAAGACATGAAGTGGTTACAGTGTTTTGATGATAGGGGTCTTCTCAGCACTGCTCGCGTTTGGTGGGATCACTGTGTTATGAACGTTGAGGTCAGGCGGAAGGTACTAAGCCAGACAGGTAAATCGATTGGTGAGGTTGTTAACGTGGCTGAAAATCGGTCATGAAGGTGCAGATTTATTCACTCCTTGACATCTTCCAAAGCTGGAATATTTGCACTAACCGTTATTTTAGATCGTTTATTCTCTCATACAACTTTGTGTAATTTTATATCACTCCATTTCTATCCACCTGTTCCTTGTGTACTACTGTGAATTGTGGCGACTTGGGCCAATGCACTTGAGTGTGAGCTTTTTCGTTGACTTTATCAGTCAGTGCTAGTGAGCAGTTGTAGACGCGTGCAGTTGAGCAGTCCCATACCAGAACGAAACAGCTGTTCGGCGCTACAAGGTTTTCAATAGTTCTACAACTGATCTCAGTCCATGATGTATATCATCTTGTAAACCTAGCAGTCTGCATAAACCACTAAATTGAATTAATGTGCATGATAATAAAATTGAGATAGCTAAAGAAGGAACAGTAATTTAAAGAAGAGGTGTGGCTTACTGTCTTGAACGTTTAATCCTCCAAAATAATGGATTCCAAAATAGAAGCCCCATCCAGCCTACTTCTGACTCGATGATCGGGTAGCACCACAAGCCCTCAAACAGTATAGCTAATAATCTAGTACATAAACACGTACCAAGTTGAATTACCATATTTTGATTTCCAACATATGAGTAAGACTCAGACCAGTAGATAACAGCTTCATAGATTAGTGCTAGCAATTAATCTGCGTATCTTGATAATTTTTTACGGTTTACTTCAGCAGTTTATATTCCGTGTTGAGAAAGGTGGTAGTTTAGGCAAGCATAACGTCTCGGTTATCAGAATTATCGGGTGGTCCAATTAGTTAGTCAATTCCCTTCACTAAATTGCCAACATTCTGCACTGAATACTTCCACTGCACGTGTAGTACTTTGAACTTACAAACAGTCAAATGACTGCGGACTCTTTCAATCACCTGCTCATAACCACCACCACTTTTCAGTCATAACAGAGTAAACTGCAGAGGTATGTAATGCTGGTAGTAAAATTACTCAGCTGTGCACAATGCCAAAATCGGCCGCACAATTATTAATGGTTTGTCGGTGTACTTACACACATATATTATTGGAAAATGCGTGAGTTTAGCTCAGTTACACAACCAACAGAAGTAATTGTTGAAGTGGGATTCAATCAGCTAGTAAGTTTTTGGCATGATAATTCAGGAGCCAATACTCCAAGTATGGTTAAAACCAAGTTTTCCAGCATAGTCCTAATTCTTATATGATGCAATGACTTATTGGTCTAGTGGAGCTGTAGCTTAT